ATTTGCATTCCCACCAACAGTGTAAGAGGGTTCCCTTTTCTCCACACCCTCTCCAGCATTTATTGCTTGTAGACTTTTGGATAGCAGCCATCCTGACTGGTGTGTAATGGTACCTCATTGTGGTTTTGATTTGCATTTCTCTGATAATGAGCACTCAGCCTTCTTTATGGTCCAATTTTCATACTGTACATGACAACTGGAAAAACCGTAGCTTTGACTATACGGACCTTTGTTGGCAAAGTGAGGTCTCTGTTTTTTAATATGCTCTCTAGGTTTGTTGTAGCTTTCCTTTCAAGGAGTAAGCATCTTTTAATTTCATGCCTGCAGTCACTGTCCACAGTGGTTTTGGAGTCCAAGAAGATAAAATCTGTCACTGCTTCCACTTTTTCCCCTCCTATTTGCCATGAAGTGATGGGACCAGATGCCATGATCTTAGTTTTTGTTTTTTTATTATTTTCTTTTTTTTATCTTGTTTTTATTTCTCCCTCTTTTTTTAATCTTAGTTTTTTGAATGTTGAGTTTTAAGCCAGCTTTTTTACTCTCCTATTTGACTCCCATCAAGAGGCTCTTTGGCTGCTTTTCACTTTTTGCCATTTTATCATCTGCATATCTGATGCTGTTGATATTTCTCCTAGCAATCTTGATTCCAGCTTGTAATTCATCCAGTCTGGCATTTTCCATGATGTGCTCTGCAGAAGTTAAATAAACAGGGTGACAATATACAGCCCTGTGGTACTCCTTTCCCAGTTTTGAACAAGTCAGTTGTTCCATGTAAGGTTCTAATGGTTGCTTCTTGATCTGCACCCAGGTTTCTCAGGAGAGTTAAGATGGTCTGGTATTCCCATCTCTTTAAAAATTTTTCAGTTTGTTGTGATCCACACAAAGGCTTTAGTGTAGTCAATGAAGCAGAAGTAGCTGTTTTTCTGGAATTCCCTTGCTTTCTCTATGATCCAATGAATGTTGGCAACTTGATCTTTGGTTCATGGCTCACAGCCTTGTCAGGAGAATGGGCTGCATAACTCAATGAAGCTATGAGCCATGACGTGCAGGGCCACCCAAGACAGACAGGTCATAGTGGAGAGTTCTGACAAAATGTGGTCCACTGAAGAAGGGAATGGCAAACCATTCCAGTCTTCTTGCTGAGAGAACCCTATGAACAATATGAACAGTATGAAATCTATAATTCCCATCAATATATCCTATGAAACTTTATTTCATGGTCACAGGTTGGTAAATGTCTTTGGTACATCAATGCATTGCCCATCGAAGCTGTACATCCAAAAGAATGCATGTGTTTGCTTTGCAGGCTAATTTCATGCTTATTCAACACCCTAATACTAATGAGGCTCACAGTGACAGAGCGATTTTTGACATGTTAACCCTATAACAGCTTTATAAGTATGGTGTTATGGTGCTTTAGTCACTAAGTTGTGTCCGACTCTTGCGACCCCATGGACTGTTAGCCTTCCAGGCTTCTCTGTCCATAGGATTTTCCAGGCAAGAATACTGGAGTGGGTTGCCATTTACTTCTCCAGGGGATCTTCCCAACCCAGGGATCGAACCCAGGTCTCCTGCATTGCAGGCAGATTCTCTACCAACAGCTACAAGGGAAGCTAAAGGGTGTGTTGCCTCCCCGTCGGGGAATTGAACCCTGGTCTCCTGTGTGACAGGCGGGGATACGCACCACTATGCTAACAAGGACAGCAGCTTTTATAAGTACAAACATTTAAATTCATAGGGACTACTCCAATCCCCATTTTATAGACAGTAAAATGAAATCACTAACAGTCTAACTTGCCCTAGGTCACAGGTCTTCATAGCAGGACTAGAATTTGAAACCATGAAGTCTGATTCCATTCTCTCTTTTTCAAATTATTTTTTAAAATTTTTTATTTAGTTTTTAAATTTTTTTTGGCTGTTCATGTCTTCATTGCTATGTGAAGGCTTTCTCTACTTGCACCACTACTCTTTGTTGCGGTGCACAGGCTTCTCTGCAATAGCTTCTCTTGTTGCAGAGCACAGACTCTAGGGCATGTGGGCTTCAGTAGTTGCGGCCCCTAGGCTCTAGAGTAGCTGTGCATGGGCTTTAGTTGCTCTGGGGCATGTGGGATCCTCCCTCCAGACCAGGGATCGATCCCGTGTCCCCTGCACTGGTAGGCGGACTCTTATCCACTGTACTACCAGGGAAGTCCCTCCATTCTCTCTTAATCATTATTTTAGAAACTGAGATATAATTGACCTATAACATACTTTTTAAAACATTGAGATATAATTGACATATAACATTGTATTAACAAAAGTTTAAGGTACACAGTGTGTTGGTTTGACACATTTATACTGTACTATGATTACCACCAGCAGAGTTACCTAATATCTCTATCATGTGACCTAATGATCATTTCTTTTTTTGTGGTGGAAACAATTAAGATCTAATCTCTTACATTACCATTTATTCTTAACCATTCAAGGTCAGAATAGTGGAAAGATAGGGAGACAGACGATTTGATCTGAGGGTATTTTGATAGAGTGGTACAGATTAGGGTGACATTTCAGGACCATGCATAGTGCTTGAGGCACTTAGCTCTCCTGTAGTTCCCCTTTCCCAACTACTAATAAATTACTTTCCCACTGCTTTCTGGCTTTCTTCTTCACTTAATCATTCAGGCTACAAATAATTATTGTATGCCTACTATGTATCAGATTTCTGAATCATGTGCAAGAAATGAGACAGTAAGACACAGGCCCTTCTATATTATGGCATAAATTGCTCTCGTTTCTTCCTCGTTCCTAATCCTAATTTCACTGTTTATTTTTTGCACCAGTTCAGACTGTTGCTTGCTGATGTGAGGTGACCCCAAAGTGACTTTTTAAAAAGTCCTAACCCTTTGCCTTTTGGCCTCAGTAAACAACAGCAACAATATATGGGTCCTACTTCTCAGTAAAATGCCTTTTCACAGCTCAAGGCAAGGTTTTTTTGTTGTTGTTGTTGTTGTTTTTTAATTTGAGAGTGTTTCAAATGCAACCTGGTTCCATCATTTACCTCCTGGCAGCTTCATAACCAGGGAGCAATAACTTCCTTATCTGTGGATTGTTCAATGAAACATAGTACCACCCCGGGAGCAATAGACTGAGGCCCTTTTCCAGATGCCATGTTTTAAAACTGTCAGCTGGAAAGACCTTCACTATGTGAAACTTATTGCAATTATTTAAAGTCAATATCTGATCTTCTTCAGAAACAAACAAATGATCTCTGGCTTGCTGCCTCCTGCTTTTGGCTCTAGGCCATGGGATTATTTAATTTGGAGTTTTTCAGTCTGACAAGAGGTTAGAAACTGTCCAAGTGGGCCTCAACAACAGATAAGCGCGTCAAAACCGACAGGAATTATGAAGACTGCTATAGATGGCTTAAAAAAAAAATCGACCTCCTGTTCTGCAAGGCATCATCATCTCTTCTTCCCACTGCTGCGCTTTGCCAGGTTTTCTGAGAGTTCCAGGTCTGAGAGGCACCAATCACTCCGTTTCCTCGGTTTTTGCTGCGTACAGGTAATTAAGCTAAAAGTCTGTAGTAGTAGATCTTATTATGCTTTAGTACATTATGCATTCCAGAGCAGAAGGTTTTTGCTGGAAAGCTTCACTGTTAAGATATGATTTGCATTTTTTACTAGATACTTGTCTTTGCTCCTTGAGGACAAACACGTTAGGATTCCTTTGTGCATAAACAAAACTGTGGGCTTGACTCTGTTTTTGGCAAGACTGGAAATGCTTTAAAACAGAGCATGCTTTTGCTGCAGAGCCTAAACTATTTGGTTAAGGTGAGGGAGCAAGGCAGGAATAAGACCTTTAGTGCAACTCCATCTGGAATTAAAATGAGTGCTAAGTCATCATATGAAATAGCAAATATTTGAAATTACAACTATTACTCCTAATTTTAAAAAGCTGGTTTTTGTAGTGCTCTTTTTGAGGCCCCTGCCCTGCCAGTACTGAGGAATGTGCTTAGTCGACCTACTGAATTAAGCCTGTACTGTGGGCAATTCCACCTGCGTGGTCTCCAGACTGGGACGCAGAGGGTCAAGACAGAGATGGGCTGTTGGCACCACCCGGGTCTGGTTTGCTCTTTCTCGTCCATGAGGAGACTGGCCCAGAGCCTGGAACATCTCTCCCGCGGATCTGCCCAGAGCCAGGGGGTCGGCTTCATTTAAGGCTGGTCTGAGCTGCCCCTTTCTGGCTGCTTTCTAAGGCTGCGGCTCGGTCGGGGGAAGCGACGCGCACCACGGCGCTTGGGTTGTAACGCGGGAGAGGGCGGAGCTGAGAGGCCCGGGCACCCGGGCTGGCATACCCAGCTGGCACTCAGGCCTCGTCGCGGCGGACAACGCCGCCCAGCCGGCCGCACTACAAATCCCGGCGCGCTCTGCACTCGCTCGCAGAAGCCAAGGGGACCCGGCGTGCTCTGCGCCGGCCGGCCAGACAGCCCAGCGCACCCCTCGGCCCGCTCAACGACCGGGGGGGAAGCAGCCTGCAAACCTCCTCTCGCGCTTCACTGTCCTCCCCTCTTTATTCCAACTGCCTCAGATTCCGCCACAAGAATAGGAAGCAGTCTCCTAAATTCAACCCAGTAGAGTCGGCGCCAGCCAATAAAGTACGCAGAGCTAGGCCACGTGACAGTAGCGGGGCGGCCCTCCGCCGGCCCCCTAATCTCTATGGTTTCGGCGCCTCGCTAGAGGGCGTGTGGTCCACTGGAGGACTCCCTACATTCTTCCTCCATTACCTCACTGCCTCCGGTGGCTGCTGGGATACCGGAAGACTCGGGTCCCGACTCGGTTCAGTCCTCCAGCTGCCCGGGGAATACCTCTAGCAGTTCTTCCCTGCCGCCACCGCCGCCCCGCCGCTTCCTCCTCCGCCCGCCCCCTGCCGGCCTTCTTGGCCCCGCCCCGTCCGCGCCGCGCGTCCGGCCCGCCCGCGGCCCGCTTCTCTCGGGAGCCCCCACCCAGGCGCATGGCTCCATGAAGCAGGAGGAGGAGGCAGAGCGCGAGAGGTCCCGTCTGCCCCGGCTACGTCTGGGCCAGGAGAAAAGGTGGGAAACTCGGTCCGCGCCGCGCCCTCTTCCCGCCCCGCCGGGCCGCCCTCTCTCGATCTGCCGCCGTGCCCTCCGGGCCTCCTCACTCCGCGGCGACTGGAGGGGCTGGGGAGCGGGTTCCCCGGGTTCGGGGCGAGGGTCCCGGGGCAGCGTGGGGGAGGGGCTTCTGAGCGGCCGGGTAGGGAGGCGGCAGGCTGGGCCTGCGGGCCGCGTGTGCCTACCGGGGGCAGGAGGGTCGGGGGACGCGCTGAGAAGGGGGTGGGCGGACGCCCCTGCCCCGGGCCGCGAGGAGAGGCCGGGCGAGGCCAGGCGAGGCTCCCACTCTTTCTACACTCCCTCCTGGAAACAGTCTCGGGTCGTATAAAGTTTGGTGGTCTCCGGCGCCGCCTGGCGGCCCTCGCCCCCCGTCCCGTCGCCCCCTCCCCCGCTTGGCGTCTGGATTCCACCCCCGCGGCTCGGCCTTAGCTGCCCTACCCGTCGCTGGGTCGTCTCCCGACTCCTCCTAGCGCCCCGCGCTTTCCTTCCATCACCTTTTTCTTACCTTTTACCTTTCTCTCTGCCGGCTTGACCCCTCCCCGCTCCGGTCTCTTCTCTCCCCGCTGTATCTCGCCCTTTGCTTACTAAACTCTTTAACACGCACGCTCTCGCCTTTCATTAATCTTTTTTTTTTTTAACCCCACTTTGATTCTGTCCTTCCTTATCCACCCAAAGCTCCTATTTCCACCATCTCTCCACCTGATACTCTGTGGGTTTTATTCCTCCCTCCTTCCCAGGCTGTGGATTTTGCCCTTCATTACTTGCCCTCCTCCGTCCCCTGTCCTGATCTGAACTCCTCACTTTGCCACACTCTCTCACCCTTATCCCTCTGGGCCTATCCTCTTTCACTGCCCTCTCCTTGGATAGAGTGGGTGGGGCCTGGAGTCTCCTGTTTACATCTTTGGGAATAACTCGGATATCTACTACTGGAGGGTGGGGAGAGTTGGTGAAGAGATTATGAAGAGATTTATGCCAGCCTAAGAGTAATGATGACGGACTGTTACGGACAGTTATCATCTCCAACTGGGATAACAAGATGGCCTGTCCTCGGGACCCTGACATGCGGTCCAGTAATCCTTCCGCACCACATTTGCAGAGGATTTGGAAATCTTGTTTGTAGTCTGAAACCAGTAGAGAGCCTTGAGATGGTGTATCTTGGCCTGAGAGCAACTTTTGATCTAAATTAGTGGTGGAGGAAGTTTTAATGTGTGTTTCATGTTCAGGTTCAATAAAACCTTTAATCTTGCTTGTCCTCCCTTCTTGGTGTTGAGGCCAGGAATGAGGTGATTTAGTACAGGGGGCTGCCCTTGCCACCTTATATTTAGATTTTGAAATATTTTGAATTAAGGAAAGCCTGTTCCTTAGCTTTTTTTTTTTCTTCCTAGAAATTACTCTGTTGTAGTCCTTTGAAAAACCATCTCTTACCTCCGCACCGCCTTGATGTTGTTCACTCACTGCACCTGCATTTCCATCTTAGGTACAGGAAGAAGGAATGGAATCGGAAGGAAGAAAATTTATGTCAGAGACAAAATAGCTCCCCTCCTCTGTTATAGCTGTTCCCCTGACAATACAAACTTTCTGCTTTCAGTGAGTATTACCTTGGACATACTTAGAATGGAATTGTGTTGCTTTTATTTTTTATTTGGTTTTAGCCCTGTGCTTGGACTAGAATATATGTTTACTTTGTTCATTTCTGTTTTTCTATTTACATGAGTGTTCTAAACTTGATGAATCCTTCCACTTCCACTTGCTCGCTTTTAAAATAATTTTAATTGGTAAAAAACAAGTTTATTTTCCATAATCCTATTAGAGTGACTTCGATGGTTTTGTAGCATTACACTTACCCTTGGGTTACATAAAGGTTCGCCTTTAAAACTCAGAGGTTAATACAGTTTCTGTCAAGGTCAATTATCAGATGTCTTCCATATGGTTTTAATTTTCAGAGAATTTTGGAACATTTTGCCCTAAATCTGCTAGGGTGATACTGTTTTCTTAAAACTAACTAAAATTCTACATGTAAACAGAGTTCTGGGAAATTTTTTATTACTCCTGGGTCCCCTCGAGTCTGTTGATGGTATGCAAACACTTGTAAAAAAGTTTTTCAGAATGCTTCATGTCTTATTGGAACCTCACCGTCTCTCTATGAGGAAGGCAGGGGACAGATATTTTCATTTTACAAATGAAAGAACTGAGGCCCAGAAAGATCTGGCATTCTGCCATAGCTCACATAGTTAAGGGAGGGGATCTAAAAAGAAAACAAAACATTTGATTTCTTATATTCATGTTTTTCCTAAGCTAAGTTCACACGAAGGTGTACGGTATTGTATGTTTTTCTAAATCTGTAAATTTAAAAAGCAATTGTATAGGGAGATCTGTTTTTTGCAGGGAAAATTTTTACACAGCAAATGTTTCAGATGTGTATGTGTGTATAATCGGCTTTCAGAAATATAGAGATGATTATTTGAAACAATGTCCAGAATGTTTTGTGGGTCTTTTATCTGACTATTTCTTGGAATAGTTCCCTAAGTAGGCCAGAATATAGCTTACATGCCATTTCACTACTCAAATAATTATTAAATTGAATTTCAGTTCACTTGTGTGTCACAAAGGAAACAACAGTCTGTTCCCTTCTGTATAAACTTGGTTTGAATAGACATCTGGACACTACTAATAACAGAAGAAAATGCAGAGGACCCCCCTCCTTTTGTTCCCCCTTTTTCCTACCTCCCAAGTCTATCTGTTGTTGTTGTTAAAAGGTCGTGCCCCTGAATTAGCTATTTTGAAGCTTGTCTTCCAAAGGTGAACCTCTTTTCTTTCTACCTCCTAGCCTTTCTAGATATTTTTATCTAGAAAATTATTATTGGTTATTGGAACTCTAACTATTTTGACTCGGTAGTTCTGTTGGTACTCAATATATATCAAGATTTCTGTAATAGTAGCGTATTTAGCAGTTGTAGTTTCTTTTTGTTATATGGCTTCAAACTTAAAAGAGGACTCTTGTAGAATAGAACTGTGCACAGCTGTCAGCCCAGTATTCCTTATACTTCCTGGCATCTCACAATGAAGAGATCAGTGGATGACTTATTAGAAGTATGGGTCTCCAAAGAGGAAAAGCATCACGGTCATTAGAATAATAACCCCATATTAATAGAATAGCAGACGCTTTAATAAATAGTAGTTCTGTGCCAAAGATCTGCTAGATGTTTTTCATGTCTTACTCAATGAATGCTCACAAATAAACCCTCTATGGTAGCAGGAGCCTAGATCCATAGACAGACAACCTGCCTGAGTTTGCACAGCCTGTACCTGCTAAGTCAGATTTGGGATTTGCCCCTAGATGATGACCCCAAAGCCTGGACTCTGTACTCTGAGGATGGGAGCTGCTCTGGGAAGGCATCAGCTTGTTTTCAGTGGACTTTGGAGCCTTGGAAGGGACCCCCAGTGAGGGAAGAAGACCCTCCTGCCCAGCCAGCTGTGTCTGTCAGGATGTTCTCACACCCTCCCCTTAGCAGTGGTCTCCACATCTTGTTTATAAATATCAGCAGTTTATGACACATCATTTCCATTAACTTCTGAAATTGTAAATTGCCCTCCAGACAAATAATGCTCTTAAAGTGCTCCATCATTTTTAAAAAGTAGGAAAATTCTTGCCACATGCAGTTTAGAAACTAGATACGTCGTTTGGAAGGAGAGCCTTGAGCAACCTACTGTTAAACAGCACTGAGGCCAAGCCTAGGACTGACCAATTACTGTAATTTGGCAGAGAACAGCTGCCGGCATAAATCAAACCACAAAGTTAGTGTGGGGGGTATTTGACCTGATTTTTAGAATGAATGGTCCACATTAGCTATCCATTTTGCTATGAATTAAACCACTCCTTGGTTTGGGCTGAGTAGAATTGACATTGTTGATAAGAATACATACTTGTATTTTAGTTACCTTCAGTTTCTGACACATGCAACAGTCAGCACCTCCCGGTGGAACAGAGTAAAGATCAGGTTGTACCATAAATATTCATTTTATTAAAAAGGCTAACTTAAATGAAGTTGCTGGGAGATCTGTAAATAAGATTGTTGGAGTGTGTGCCATATGCAGGATGCTGGGTTAGGTGTTGTGGGAAAACAAACAGAAATGCAGCCCAGCTTCTGCGACTAAAGGTATTGGTGAGTTCAGTGCTGGCTGGAGTTCAGGTGGCTTTGTATGCCACTTGGCCCAGGTCTGCAGCACGCCACTCACCTTCCTCTCAGAGAGGCCCGCAAAGGTGCCTTTGTTGTGGACCCTCGTGAGGGTCAGGATCCCTTGAGCCTTGCATGTCAGATAAAGGGCATGTTGATGTTCAACACTGAAAAAAACTTCACTGGATACTTGCTAGGTTAGGAGGCCTTAAGAGGTAAAACAGTGATTCCTGTTATTTCCTCCAGCTCTTTGTGCAAGTATGGGTATTGTCTCCATCTGGTAGAAATCCAGTTTTAACTAGCTTGTTCTCATTGTTTGTTCTAAAGTAGATGGAGTGTAGGAAAATGACATCACTATAATAGGCCCTTAAAATGGCCTTGAGGTTAGCCTACTGAAGGCTCCAGAAGGGTCTTTGTGGTATATGTGTTTATAAAGCAAGGGTTTTTACCTGATTCCAATTACTTCATATGAACCAACTTGAGTAACCATTCGGTTACTCCTATAATCAAGGTACCATTGCTGGTAGTTTTTATGAAGTTTTGGGGAAGGATGAGAACAAAGGCATAGTTTTCTAAGAGAGGTAGAATATGTATGCCGTTAGGGGTATTTTTAGTTGGTCACAGCAGGTTAGTCTGTACTGTTATTCTGGAGGATCTCACACTGTGCCTTCAGAAACAGAGCTGTTGGAGAATCAAGTGTGTCCTTTGTAGTTGTGAGGCGGTCCTGGGAGCCAGGTCTGGGACACAGCTGTGAGATACCCACTTTGTTGGAGTTGGGTTAGGAGAGTCTTACTTAGAGAGAAGCCTGATGGAATTGATAGGTGGTGGTTGCCGTGTAAATAAAGGTGCTCACTACCAGCACCGTCACAGTCTGTACCGTTTAGTTAATGTTTGCTTTACGCTGACAGATAAGTAAAGTTTTGGCCTGTTTAAAAAACAAACCTTAAATAATTCAGTAGGGTGAGGGAGATGGAGTAAGTAGGCTGTGGATGAAATAAGTTTGGCCCTTTGTTGAAAATTATTAAACCTGGGTATTAGGTTCATTTTTGTTTGAAGTTTTCTATAGATTTAAGTTTTATGGAATAAATTTTAAAGAAATGCCTTCTAATATACTTCTGATGTAGAAAGTCTGTAACTCTGCCTTTAGTCACTAATTGAGAATATTGATTGAATTGTCTGTTTAGTGGCCTCTGGAGAAAACTTGGTCCTGAGGATCCACGAGGTTTGGGTTGGCTCTGTTGATTACAAATCACAGTTGGGGATGGTGTGGGGGATTGCTAAATGTAATCTCTCAGTATGCCCCACTCCAGAGCAGTGGTTGTACATCATGGGTGGGCCAGGGGTCTCCAGCTGCAGGCCTCGGACCAGTACCTCCTGTCAGATCAGCAGTGGCATTAGATTAAAAATAAAGTGCACAGTAAACATGCTTGAATCGTCCGGAAACCATCCCCACCTCACCCCCGGGGGGAAATTGGCTTCTCTGAAACCAGTCCCTGGGCCAGAAAGATTGGGGACCACTGGTGTAGGCAGAATCTTCCTAAGCTTGATCTCACCTGCCTTGGCATGGTTTGAAAACCCACTGCTCTGTTACAGGGTGTTTCGCCCATCAGAGAGCTGATAGCACCTTTGGAGGAACACCTGAGTTACCACTATCTCATGACATTTCTCTCTTCCTTCAAGCATCCTACGGTGTAAGGAGAATGAGGAAGGATTTGTTTCCTCGCCTTACTGTTACTTCATCCCTTCTCTCTGCTTCTTTGAATGTTGGGACTCTAGAGGCAGAGCCTCAGGGCCCTCTTGGGGCTGTTAAAGCTCTCGCTCTCGAGAGAAGGTCCCTCTGCCTCGTTGAACACAGGCTCTCAACCCTCTGCCCACAGTTATGCCCGAGGAGGAAGGTCAAGTAAGAGCTCAGAGGACAGTGACAGCCTCTGTGGACTCGGGTGGCCATGGCAGGGGCACTGGCCATTGTCAGGGTGGTGGCAGAGCTTTGGGCTTAGGTTTTGATTTCTTTCCCCTGCTCCTCCTTTCTTTAAAATTATTTTGGCCACACTAGGTCTTTGTGGCGTCTCGAGGGGATTCTCTAGTTGTGGTGTGGGAGGGCTTCTCTTGGTGCAGAGCATGGGCTCTAGAGCCTGCAGCCTCGGTAGTTGCAGTGCACAAGCTTAGTTGCTCTGTGGCATGTGGGAATCAGTCCCCCAGCTGTGGGTTGAACCCATATCCGCTGAATTGGAAGGTGGATTCTTAACCACTGGTCCACCAGGGAAGTCAGCTTCCCTCGGCTCCATTTTTGTTGGCGAAATTTTGCAAGCTATTCTTTTAGTTTTTAGTATACCCTTGATTTTTTTTTTTTTTTTAATCACGCCCTTAGGAAAGGGACTGAATCCAATGGATATGACTGGCAGGCCCCGTTCTTTGTGGCATGGTGGGAAGACCCGAGCTTTGTAGTCTGACAGATAGATCGTGGTCCAAATCCTGACTCTGCCACTTAGTGGCAGATTACCTTTCTTACTAAACCTAAGTTTCCTCCTTTGTAAAATGATGGTAATATCATCCTTGCTGGGTGGTTCTGAGGATTAAGTGAAATCCTGTTTAAAGAGCATCTGTTTGGTGCTCTAAGCCTTGAGTGTGCAGCAAAGTCCTAGCCTTCCCAGAGCCTCCACCTCTGGGGGGAGCAGTCAGATGAGAGCCCAGATGATAAGAGCAGCTAACTTTATGCCATAAACTGTATAGAAGCACTTCACATAGATTAAACTCAATTCTCCTAACAGCCCCATGAGGCAAGTACTATTGTTATTCCCAGTTTCCGGAAACTGAGGCATAGAGAGGTTAATCCTGGAGGAATCACATTTGAACCCAGGCCATTTGACTCGGGAGGCAACATTTTTAACCAGAACCTCCTGCTCCCTCTCTTAACAGTCTGAACAAGACAGTGATATCTACACTCAGAAACAGTCTATTCACTGGAGGTTTTACTATATCACATGCAGGAGGCTTTCTCAAAAAGAAGCCTGTTGCAAGCTAGACATCAAAATGTGTAAACTGTTACTCCTCTGCTGGAGACAACTTTCTTCCAAAGAATTGTCTTAAATACAAAAATGTGTATTTTGTTAGGGATCAGGATTTATCAGAAACAAAAGCACTATTTGTGAAATTTTTGGATCTCATTCACTCTAAAGTGACAAGTTGTGTTTGTAGAAATAACAGCATTGGAAATGGGTATGTACATATCTAATTTTATTTAAAAGATTGTAGACACTACAACCAAAAAACTATACAATAGAGTAGTGCCTAAAAAGGCAATTGTGTGCTGTGTGTTCAAATTACAGAGAAAATTTTAGATAAAAATTATATATTTTGAGTAGGAGGCTAGAACTAAAATGTAGTGATTTGTGAAAAAACAAAGTACATTTTTCTCAGGTTAGCAGGATTTTACAAACTCTGGTATTATCAACATTGAAATAACTAGGATCTATTTTCCTGAGTCTCGATTGTTGACATAGACAATAGAAAGGATCTGGGTCATGCTACAGCTATATATCTTTACCTTGGGCTTCTTAAGAAAAAGGATTTAGGAGAAGGAAATGGCAACCCACTCCAGTGTTCTTGCCTGGAGAATCCCAGGGATGGGGTCGCACAGAGTCAGACACGACTGAAGTGATTTAGCAGTACCTGTAAAGGCTACTACTACTTTATTTAGAGGATAGGTGTAAGTGAGAGTGGGAATGAATGGGGTAGACATGCCTGTCCCTGCTTTCCTCATCCCATCTGGACCCTTCTTTGCCTTTGAATCTGTTCCTCCCTTTCCCCAGCAGTCTATTTATTAACTAGCAAGAGGGCAAATAAGGGATCTTCTAGGATTGATTTTGCTAATTTTTTTGAGGATACCGAGCACCATTTCACCATATTCTGTACCCTTATCTGACAGTCCCTCCCAGAACTGAGTTTTCTTTTCATCCAGGGTCCAGAAGGAAAAACAAAAAACAAATCATACCGTCACACACCAATAAAAAATAAGCTGTCCAGATGGAAATAAAATCTAATTAGGCAATAAAAGTAGAGATTGTGAAATGGTTCAAAAAAAGAAAAAGGATTTAATGGAAAAAGATTCCTTCCTCTCCTTTATCAGCTGGAACTCCCATCTGATGCCACATTTTGTCAGACTCATGCCTTTGCATCTCTGCCTTCCTGTGACAGGGCAGAAATGGCTACCTCACAAAAGGACTGAAGCTTGGATCATTTGTGTGAATAAAGGTTTCTGCTTGGTTGTAGCTTTTTTTTTGAACGGGGTCTTGAAAGTATAGAAGTGTAGAAATTGGAGTATGTTCAGAGGAGAAGGAAGAAGATAAGTAAGACTGTGCAGGGTCACTGTGAGCACAGAAAGGCGGCAGGAGCCTTGTGCTAGCGTGCTCTTGTCAGAAGAGCGGTTGCTTCTCATCCTCACAGAGGTCTGGAGCTAAAGTCACATAGGTAAGTTGAGGTTGGTGATGAGGGAAAATGTGAAAGTTCCTCTGGGGTTCTTTAAACACAGAGTGGTGCAGGTTGGAGCCTGTACAAATGTAGAGCGAGCATCCTGCTGAAGAGCCTTTCAGGTCAAGTGCGGTCTTCCAGCCGGTCTTGAAGTGTCCCCGTCTGCCTGCAGACTGGCTGCCACTCTGCCCGTCTTTCTGCCCGAGGAGACCTGGGCACGAGGGAGCCGTTGTGGCCTGCCTCCATCCATGATGACCATAACCTTCATGGAAAATGAAAAAAGCTTCCCCTCAGGTAACGGTTAGGTGTCCCTGGTCTGGAATGCAGTCTTTTCCAGCCCACTGGTCTGACGTCCTTTGTGACCAGTGTGACCTATGTGAGAAAGAACTCGATGACTCCTACCCCTTCCCTGTAGACCCTTTCTCTGATTTTTGTGTTCTTCTAACTGACCATTTGCATTAATGCTTGGGTGTTCTCTTTTGGATTAGGGTTCTGCAGCATTCCGGACCTCAAGCACTGAATCAGGATGGGAAAAAGACGTTGTGTTCCTCCACTTGAGCCCAAGCTGGCAGCAGGTTGTTGTGGGGTCAAGAAGCCTAAGTTATCTGGAAGTGGAACGCACAGTCACGGGAACCAGTCCACAACTGTCCCCGGCTCGAGTTCAGGACCTCTTCAAAACCACCAGCATGTGGATGGCAGCAGTGGTCGGGAGAATGTGTCGGACTTAACTCTGGGACCTGGAAACTCTCCCATCACACGAATGAATCCCGCATCGGGAGCGCTGAGCCCTCTCCCCCGGCCCAATGGAACTGCCAACACCGCCAAGAACCTGGTGGTGACCGCAGAGATGTGCTGCTACTGCTTTGATGTCCTGTACTGTCACCTCTACGGCTTCCCGCAGCCGCGGCTCCCTAGGTTCACCAACGACCCCTAGTGAGTAATGCGGTCACGCGCCGAGGACGCAGGAACGGCACAGAGGCCTCTTTCTGGGGTCGCTTTCTTGCAAGAATCTTCTACTTATAAAAAGCTTTAACATGGTTTGGGCAAAGGTTAATGGGAAAAGAATGAAGAAAAGTATCCAGACAATATCTAGAATATCAAAAGTGGATACTAGGCTACATTTGAAGGAGTTGTTGGCTTGTCATTAAAGTTACATTCTGGAAAACAGGAGGGTTTTGATTTTGATTGTCTTTTGGTTTCATATGGCAGGGGGTAGGTCATTCAAACCCTCATGTGGAGAAGTCACACCACCACACCATTGTGGACCTGTGCATTGCTGAAATCCGAGTGAACTACCAGTGTTCACTACCAGTGTTCACTCCAGCCAGGCTGGAGATGAGCTCATTTACTGGGAGCTGAGATGCTCTTAACAAGAGTCCCATCACTTACTATCAGTCCCGTGGGGCTGCCAGCACCCCACCAAGAATGTCAGAATTTGTTTTGATGTTTTTAGTTCAAGACTCCCAAGTTCCCATGAGGTGTTAGTGACTTAAATAAGGAATATGTGTATGTAAAGGGTGAAGTCAAGTGAAGACAGACATGCTAAGGCTTGCTTTCTCAGAATTGGAACCAGCTTCGATGTGGATTTAGAGAGCAGTGCTGCTCTTTTATTTTTTAGGAGGTGCTTTTAGAGGATTCACTGACCAAGAACTGTTAGTGCCGTACTGAGGACTGGGCAGGGAATAGACAGGTATGAAGCAACAGTCCTTGCTCTCAGGAGACTTGAGTTGACAGATCACACACAAAAGCTAAATAGGGTGTGTCTCACACTGTCTGGGCAGAGGTAGAGGGGAAGTTCGTCTGTGATTGTGTCAGAGGAGAGGAAATGAGAAAATGTGCTTGCTTTTTAGGGAAGCCTTGCCATATGACATCTGGGGATAGAAAAATCCTAAGTAGATGGAGAGTCTGAGCCTTGATCTGAGTGGGATTGGGTGTGTCCCTTGCAGGAGAGGGACACAGACTTTGAAGAGTAAGTGGTGACCACAGCTTTGTAGGGTGTGGGCACAGTGGGATTCCTGGAAGGGCTTTGAGTAGGTTTTGGAACGTTAACTTTGGCTGGTGCTGTTCAGCTGTTTTACTGAAAGGAAAAGATGGGTAGGTGGGAGACCTTGCCTTGTAATAGTGATCAAAGGTAACTTGAAAGATGTAAGTTTTAGCAGTGTTAAGAATCTTAAGAGGTAAAGGCATAGGAACATGGAAGAATTTTGGGAAGAGGCGGCAGCCCCGTAACCTGTGTCTAAATATCTATTAGTGTCTATCTGATATAGCCTAATGCAGCATGACTTTGGCCTGGAAAGTGGTAACTTCTGCTGAAAATAAGCTTTTTTTAAAAAAAGAATTATTTATTTTTGACTGCATTGGATCTTAGTTGCAGCCCGTGGGATTCTTTCTAGTTGTGACACTTGGGGTTTAGCTGTCCCTCAGCACGTGGGATCTTAATTCCCCAACTAGTGATCAAACTCATGTTTACTGCATTGGAACGCAAATTCTTAGCCACTGGAACACTAGGAAAATTCCAGAATAAGCCTTCTTTTTTAAAATATTTGTTTATTTATTTGGCTGTGTTGGGTCTTAGTTGAGGCACATGGGATCTTCATTGCATCATCCAGGATATTTTGTTGTGGCGAACAGAGTCTAGTTGTGGCGCTCTGGCTCAGTAGTTGTGACAGGCAGGCTTGTTGTATGTGAGATTGAACCCATAACCCACTGCGTTGCCTGGCGTATTCTTAAGCACCAGGAAGTCCGCAGAATAAGCTTTCTTGGGGAGACTTTTTTTTTCTGGAATTTATAAACAGAAGAGACAGAAATAATGATGGGTGCAGTATGGGGTTGAGGGGAGAAGGTGTGCAGGCTAGTATGTCTTCAAGAAGGATGGAACTGGGAGACATAGACACAGAGAAAGAGAGTAAACAAGAGGAGGAAGATGTGGAGAACTAGAAGAAAGAGTCCTGAGCAGAGGAAGACGGAAACAGCAGCCCTATGTGGAGTGGCGCGGAGCTGAGAGCAGGGGCTGCAGGAGCCTCCCTGTGCCTCAGGGCCATCTCCTCTCCATTTCCACCTTGGGGCCACACAGCTCCCCAGACAGCCCACATCAGAAAGCAGTCATGCTGGGGAAGAACAGGCAGACGGGGGTAAAGCCAGGGCTTTGTCCTCTGATCACTGCGTGCTTGCTCTTTCAGTCCACTCTTTGTGACATGGAAGACAGGGCGGGACAAGCGGCTTCGTGGCTGCATTGGGACCTTCTCAGCCATGAATCTTCATTCAGGACTCAGGGAATACACGCTAACCAGGTAATGACACCACGCATGAGATGGGTAGATTATCTGCAAAATTTGAAAATAACTGTCTTTCTTGTGAGTGGTAAAGCTTGAGTGTTTCTTTTTGATAGTCAGGAGCTGTGGGGGCTTTAATCTAGTGAGTCACTTAGCAGTTCAAGTATAGACAGTTAGTAGCATCGGTTGTTTTTAGCATGTTCGTGTTGATGGGTAGTGAATGTTTTTTGCAGAGCTCAAGAGCCATAAACTTTCAGGCTCATGATGTTGGCTCCCAATTCCGGAGCAGCCTCACTTATGTTTTCTGTCCCCTCCAGTGCACTTAAGGACAGCCGATTTCCCCCCCTGACCCGAGAGGAGCTGCCTAAACTTTTCTGCTCTGTCTCCCTCCTTACTAACTTTGAGGATGCCAGTGATTACCTGGACTGGGAGGTGAGAACAGCCGCATTTGGAACTCTGCATCTCTCGTTGCATTTGGGTTCGGGTTAGTACATGGTAATGTATCTCCTTCATTGAGCAAGGGTATAAGCATGTGAGAGCTGAGGTCAGAGGCAGTTGTAGGCAACCTGGGTGACAGAAAAGATACTTCGATATTAGAAGCAGAAAGAAATCCCTTTCTTACCAGTCTACTCTCTCCCATGTCCTTTTCCCATGTCTAATAAATAATGGGATAAAGGAGAACATTCCTGATTATTCTTGGTGAGCCCTTGAATAAATGTTATTAGGAGCCACATGTGAAGTCAGTAACCCTGATCAAATCCTGCAGCCTGTTCTTGAATATTAAAGGTGGAATGTTCATGATTATTGGATACGTTATTAAAATAATTGATTTATGTAGCCTCCATAGTCTCAGAGAGGTGGCTGCACTTAAGAGTCTCCCTTTCCCTGAAGCAGCAGTTTCTTTGGCTTCTTTGCCTGAGAGAGAGTCAGCCTTGAAAAGCATGAGGCTCCCCTTTTCTCAGCCCTGGGTCAAGCTGGTCAGGGGACAGTGTCAATTTACATGAGGATAATTAAAGTTCCATTAGAGTAAGTAAACAGCATTTATTGGTTGTGTGTTTTTGTAGGTTGGGGTCCATGGGATTCGAATTGAATTCATCAATGAAAAAGGCGTCAAACGTACAGCCACTTACTTACCTGAGGTTGCAAAGGAGCAAGGTGAGTTAGACAGATGGAGTGACACCCTTCACTGTGAATGGTACCCTTCAGTGCTGTCACATAGAGGGCAGGAGAGTGGGATGTGTTGCCTTTTAGTTCAGTGTAGCTAAGTATGAGTGGCTTTCTTCCTCTCCGTATCTATCAAATTCTTAGAGAATAAGAAATAAACTCCCCAAAAGAGCTGGGAAAGAAAAGGGGTAAATACTTCTTAGGTGCCTGTTTCACTTACTTTCAATGAGTAGCAGTATTTCTTGGCCCCAAAACTGCAGTGCCAATTGTAGGAAAAAAGAACTCAATAGTTCCTGCAGTGGGACCCTAAAGGTAGGAAGTGGGTTGGGCAGGTTTTCTCTTTAAAAGAATATTTAGAAGAATACCTTAAAATGTTGCTTATGCATTCTACAGTGTACAACCCAATTTTCTTTCTTTCTTGGAACTAGTCTTTTTTGAAAATAATATCTAGTAGTTAGGTATGAAACTGAAATAGAGAAAAATACTGAGTTCAGTGTATCAATGAACTGATTACGTGGCAAGGGATTGCCTTGTTGGTTCCCATCATGGAAAGCAGTGGGGATATGGCTTAAAAAGGAGGAAGCCTTTTAGCCACCTCTTTGAGGTAATAAATCTGGCATTTCTGTCCAAGGAGATGGACCAGGAATATTTCCTGATAGTGAGATGTGATGATAATTTAGGTAAGTAATCAAACACTTTTGCTATTTGAAAACTGATTGAGGAAATTAAAATCAAGGCAGTGATTTATGGAGTTTGTTATGGAGTGATTTGTTTGGTTTTCAATTTGATATATTTGGTTGTATCTGGTGAAAATATTTCTAGAACAACACAGCAGTAGATGTGCAAACAACTTTCCCATCCTTCCTAAGGGAATAGCTTCTGTCCTGCTGTCAAGTCTGTAGTAGAAAACAACTGCAAGAAATCATCAAAATGAAGCAAGGCCACATAAAGGAATGCAAGCTGCAGAATATGAATTCTCCCTTCTCCCAGAGCAGCCCTAGTTAGCGCACTAGGCCAACTAAGTTGGGACCACATTTGCTCCTAGATAGTTGTCCTGGGATCATACCTGACAGGAAAGACTCAGAAGAAGGAGAAGGCCATTGATGGTGTGTGCTGGGCATCCTCGCACGTCTCGGGCTCTCCTTGGACTGCCAACAAGGCAGACAGGACTCCGGGGTGCGGGGGCAGCACCCAGCTCGCTCTGCCCGCAGCGGGTCCGGCTGCTGCCCTCCTGTTGCTGCGTTAGGGCACTGCCTGCCTGGTTCCGTCACTGTGCACTGACCTCCATTCACCTGTCTTCTCCTCAGACTGGGATCAGATCCAGACGATAGATTCCTTGCTCAGGAAAGGTGGCTTTAAGGCTCCAATTACCAGTGAATTCAGAAAAACCATCAAACTCACCAGGTAAGTCACTGTCTCATTTTCCTTGTCATTTTAACTTAGTTGGGGTTAGATGGAAGATACTTTTGACAGACAGGGAAGAGAAAAATGTTCCCTGCTAATGTCTCCAAACCAAAGAAGTATTTGTGAGGTTGAAGCTCTGAGGAAGCAATAGCAGTGAAAGCAGAGGCTCCCCAGCATCCTGGGCATGTCCATAGTTCAGCTGATGGCATAGTGGGGGCAGAGTAGCTGCTGAACAATCGTGGGTGTCTTTGCCAGACCCACTTGTTGGGAGGCTGAGTGGGAAGGCGGAAAGCAGGAGAGAAGGCTCTTAATAACAGAAGTCCTGGGTCAGTCGAAGTCACCACATGCAGTCAGGTGGCGTGTTGATGGACTAGTAACAAGGAAACGCCTCTGCCTGTTAGGAGCAAATACATCCATGGGGTGGCTATAGTAAAATCTGCATGAATTGGACCCTAAATCCCAGCTCCACCACTTCCAGCTGTGTGACTTGGGCCTCTCTAAGCAGAAAAAAAAATCCTGCCTTGGGGTTGTTCTAGAGTGTGGTAAGGTAATGTATGCAGAAATTCTAGTCTGGGGCCAGGCAGTATTGTAGGTGGTCAGTAGATGTCAGCTCTCTTCCCATCCCTGTTGAAATTGGAAATACTGAGAGGTGTAGCTTCTGTGGGTTTGTGTGGGCCTCTGTTGGCCTCTTCATCTGTAAAATGCTGAATAATCATGTAGTAACCTCACAGGTCTATTTGGAAGATAACCCCATGTTTTTGAAATGCTTTGGATTCCAAAAAAGAAAAATCTTCAAATACAAAGCATTATTATTATCATTATTATTATAATTTATTTGAACAGCCATTTCCCTGTCAAAATTCAGGAATAATCACCTTGCAGTGGAGGAGTGATTACAGAGGGAAAGAGATGGCTCTGGGTAAGGATTGTCACACCCAGCTCCTGTGGTCTGTAGTAGGCTCCATAGGTTTGTAACACCCCATGCTTCGCATCCTGACTCATGGCTCTTTTTAGAGCAAGGCCAAAGTGCTATGAATTCTGTTCTGATGGCCCTGTGATATAATGATATGGCACATTCATCTGGGAAGTGAGACCCAGGATCTTTTAACCTGCTTCATCAGAATTTGACCCAGAATTAGGGATCTGTGCCCCTTTTAGTTATAAATAACTTGTTTGTTGCTTTTCTGCAAGTTGAAGTTGCATTTCTGTCAAATTTATCACATTTTAACCTGAAATAGATAATGCATTTTACACTGGGCATTGGTGCAGCCATCTTCCCGTCTGCCACCCATATAATTTGACCTTAAATTCTTCATCCAGACCCTAGTAGCAGATTGCTTAAGAGCAGCCTAATGATAAGCATATGAAGTGTTTAAAGGTGGGATGTACAGAAAACATTCTCAGGGGTGAACTGTGACTGTGCTTTTTCATCTTGTTCATTTGTAATAACAACACTGTTTTCTTGTGCTGTCTTTCATTTTCTGTAAGTAAGATTGCTCTTGGTCTTCCATTTTATTCTTTCAAAATGTGGAATAAGCTTTTGGTTTACTCTGCTGCGTGATTTTGAAATGAAGTATTTGGGGTTCCTAACACCCTTTCCTGTTTCCTTACACAGGTACCGAAGTGAGAAGGTGACAATCAGTTATGCAGAATATATAGCTTCTCGACAGCATTGTTTCCAGAATGGCACTCTTCATGCCCCGCCCCTCTACAATCATTACTCCTGACACACGGCTGCATGACCAGTCCCACCCCCCTGTGGCCACCAATGGCTATGACATCATTGGAGCAGATGCCTCCTCTTCCTGGTCCAGTTACTTCTATTACTGCACCATTTTATGATGCTAGCTTCCGTTGCCAAGTCTGCCTCCGGCTGACTGAGGTGGGGGGCGGGGGGGGGAGGGGTTATATTGAATGAAACAGAACTTGAGGGCCCAAGCCTTATCTCAGCCTTTCCTCAATACGGGGTTCCATTGGATTGGGGCTCCTCCATGACTAGTGAGAATTCCGTGTGGGCTCAGAAGACTTTGGCATGCAGGTGCCGCTGCTGATTTGCCGCCTGTGTGTCGGGCGCACGGTGGAAGCTGGAATTGATGGTCCATGAAGGCCTACCCCACACACACCTGCAGCCTCCCCAGATCAAGTAGGTGTATTCCCCTGGCAGTCTGGGCAACGGAGACCAACAAGAAACATTTTTAGGTTGTTTTAAATTCCTTTTTTTAAACTTGCAGTTAATTGCGTACCAAGAGTTGATCACAACCTCCATGCTTCATAAGCGGACGCCATGTCAGGGTCGAACGTGGGCACCATGAGTCCTGTGGCTCCTGGACAGAGACCCACCTCACGACCAGAAGCCCTTTGGATGGCGTTGCAGATCTCATTGCTCAGTTAGCCTCGAAGGTTCTAATTCTCATCCCACTCTCAGTTGGATTTTCTGGCACTCTTCCTGCATCGAGTCTTCTGGTACTGAACCGAGCTCTGTGGTTTGGCCTGCTGCGGATGGACTGGGATGCCTGCGGGAGGTCCTCATGGCATCACTGCACGCAGTGTCAAGGGAGAGACCTCTTCCTTACCACCTGGCTACCTCACTCCTCTACTGGTAGCAGTGCCTATAGCTGGATCTAGGTTCTCAGAGACGTTCCAACAAGCACTTGGGTTGGGTTTTAGAAGGATACGTCGTCATAGGAGAGAATCCAAGGTCTCCAAGCTGTTTTTCTTTTCAGGCAAACATCCTGAGAGACCTTTAAGCAGAGGAGTTCCTTTTTCTAGTTTGCTTGTAGAAGTGGGAAAACTGTTAATGTTTCAGTCCTTTATGGGGACTTTAGAACAAAGCTGTGTAATTAAACAAGGTGAATCTTTATCTTGCCTAACACGCTGGGAAAATTTCACCCCACTGTGGCAGAGTTCCAAATAGCTTATTTTATTTTAGGTCATTCATACTTTCATGTGGCATATTTCCCTTTCCCATTCTTGCTGATTCCAAATGGCTGTCAGCAAGTTTCTCCTCCCTCTTGCCTATTCTTCACTCATATGGTGGCAAAGTTCATAGAAGTTGGGAATTTGGAAGATGCTTTGAAAACATTGTCACAGAGGCACTGCTGAAATGATTCACAGGAAGAGGTGGCCAGTTGGAAGAAAAGGCCCTACAGGTGATACACTGGTTTCCAACAATAAATATGCTTAGAGAACTCTAAAGTGGATTGGGTGTCAACCCAGTGAACATAATGTTTTGATTTAATTTATTTTTAATGTTTATGTGGTAGTGGTGTGGCTTTCCGAAATGGGCAAATATTCAAGTCAAAAGATCTTTTGAGTTTTCTTCTGTCAGGAGCGGAGGGCGGAGGGGAGCAGGGACACAGTCTGAGGAATGACACACATGCTTTTCTAGGCGTTGCTGTCCTTTTCTTGAAGAGATGGGTTAGGGCGAGCAGGTGTGCTTGGCACCATCCTCTGCTGTTAAGGGTGTGGAATGTGCCAGGGAAGCGTGGGCTGATGTCCAGATGTGCGGGCCAGGCTCCAGCACTGTCTCGCTGCTGGGCCGCACTCCCACATCCTGCCCCCTTTCCCTCGCAGTGCTAATGAAAACAGGCTTCTGAAGATGAAGTTGTTGTTTCATGATTTCCTGCTGCTGAGAATAATAAATGTCTTGTTGCAAACAAATGTGACGACGGTTACTTAGGTGCCATGGATTGATGTCAGGGTGGTCAGCTCTGGACTAAACCACCCACCTCCAATTTGTACAACAGTATTGATACATAGGGCTACACTCATTACTGTTCAAGTCTTCTATGTTAAAAAAGTTGTGTTTAATTTCTAAAGTTTAAAAAAAGCAAAAAAAAATGGTGCTAAACTTTCACCCCTGAGCATGCTCAGTGAGACTGGTCATGCAAGCATTTACAGTGCCATGCTCTTTCAAGCCTATTTTTTCTTGTAGAAATGTTGCCCTATTTGTCTTTCCCAGTGTATAGTTGTGTTGTTTTGTTTTGTTTTAATTTTATTGAGGGTGGGGTAGGATACCTGCCATTTAAGGAAAAAACCAGAAAATTTAAAACCCCAGGAAATGGGGCGAAAAAATCAGTGCACAAGAATCGGGCTTAAGCCCAGCATCACACTGAAGTGGGCTCTGGTTTTTGGAGTGAAGAAGCCTTACTCCCCGCACATTCCCTCATGCTCCCATCCAAGTCCAGCAATGGAGACGCTCGAGTTCCTTCCTTTAGTAAGAGGACTCAGGAGTCGACCAAGGAAAACTTTGGCCCTGTGAGGGATGGCACTCCGTGTGTGTCCTGAATGGAGCCAAGTCAGGAAGGGGTCTGGAAATAAACGGTCATGGTCACCTTATGAAGATGTGTGGCAGGTGGCTCTCAGGAAAAATACTAAGTCTGGATCATCCATATGGCAGCTTTGCATAGGGAAATGACAACTCCGAATGGGAACTGAGCTGCCTTCCATGTTGCTTGACCAAAGCAGTGATGCAGGTGGCCAGTATATGTGGTGTGAGTGGCGGTTTAAAGAGAAGGGGATGTTCTCTGCTCTGTTTCCTATGTCCTTGGACTGCTCGAGCTGAACAGTAACCCCTGTTTTTAAGGGACCAGCCCACTGTGGCTGGTTGGTTCGGAGTTCGTTTCATCCCTAGCTGTGAGTGCCTTTCGGTCTGGAAAGTTGGCTTGTCTCATAATACCCACAGCTAGGACATTCTCTCTGTAATTTCGAATTGCCCTTGTTCTTCATTAAAAGAGAATGTCTTTGATCATTAGAATTTATCAGTGTTGGATTGTTTCCACTGTGAGGTTCTTAAACTTTTTCGCTTCATAATATTAAAGCAACTCATGTTAGAGACCATTTCAACATGAAAGGTTTGTAGTTCAGACATTACATATATTTTATTGTTTATAATAAAAATCATCTATACAGAAGTCCTGGGTGTTAATTTTAATATTTGCACAAGATCTGTTTTCCATGGTATGTTAACACCTACAATTTCACTAACTGTTGATGTTATTTTCTATTGAGATTCTGGAACCTAGGGAGCTATTTGTTCTTTTTGTTTATTTTCATTCTTATTTCCCTGAAGCAAGAGACTTTGTATGGCCTTCAGTGCAAAGACTTTAGACCAATTCTTTGTATTACACTTGGTTGCCTCTTGGCTATATAACTTCTGAGTGCAAATCATTGAACTCTTTAACAAAGTATTGTAGAGAATAAATCATAATGGGTAAAAATTGTTCTTTGTCTTGTCTTTTTTTTTTTTTTCCGAATAGTAGAGAGTAGTAATAGTAATTTTTGAATAGTCATTATTTAGAGCTAGCCAACCAGATCATATTTACTCAGCCTGCATATTTTGTATGGTGTTGATCCCCAATAACCTTTCATTTTTATATTTTTTTGTGGTTGCTAGCAGTACCACTGGTTTTTTAAGAGCCAAATTTTCTGAACTAAGGTTCATAGTTCTTAGATTTTCCGATGATCTTGCCCAGAAAGCTACAACCTGAAAGGGGGTAGTGGGGAAATGCTCAAATTTAAGATATTTCATGAGGTTAACAAAGCCAACAGTGACCCTGGGACATTGTGTGGTCTGATCTAAAGGAAATATTTCTTAGTTTTGGATGGCCTAGAAAGGATAAGGTGTGTTTGGAGAAAATAGCAAGGAATAACTTCAAACTTTACATTCATATACTGATATTGTTAGTCTTTGGCTGAAATTATTTGCAAGGATGTAATTTTAAGATACCCGGATCCGAATCCCTGATACTTGGCCACAGGTGTACATTATCAGGGTTAGATGATGATTTTGGAAATAGATTACAGCTGATTGAGAAATTATGGTTCTAGAGTAGTATTTCATATTTGTAATGCCACCTGTAGTTAAACGGCATGGAAATCCATGTCTTTTTTGTTGGTTTTTTGTGGTAGTAAAATACAGAAGTGTTAGTCACATCCAACTCTGTGACCCCGTGGATTCACATATAACATAAAATTTGCCATTTTAACCATTCTGTTGTCTGAGAAATGTTAACTAAGCCATGTGGTCAGAAATCAGAGTTCTTGTAAGGATGGAGGAGGTGCTCAAGTCTGCTCTAAATCTGCTTCCAGATAAATCAAAGGTCTGTGACCTTGGCTTTGAATATCTGCCTTTGAAAGGCACTCACTGGGCTGGTTGAAGAACTTGACTCTGAGCCAATACAGTAGTACAAAGAACCATAGTAGCTCTTGAGGAACTTAATGTTCTCTTTCTCTGTATCTTCTGTCACTCTCTTTTATGATAGAAGTTAAGTTCAGATCTTTCATCAGCTACTCTTGGTGAGCTCCTCTTGGGTACAGCTCTAGGACTGATTCATTTTAAATTCAGGGCCTTGCACTGACATGTTAATAATGGCTTCCTGAATGAAAATGTGGATAAAGCAGCCTGTGAAACATCACTATGGATTATTTGTGGTTCTCCTCTGTTGACTTCTCTTCCTGCTGTGTGCTGGGGATCTGGCTGATACTGGAGCCAGCAAGTGTTAAGGTCCAGTTAAGTAGTAGGTAGGTGCTCTGCAAAAACCTATTGGATGGACAGATGGGAGAAGGGGGCCTACACTGAGCTCAGGACTTATCCCACACCCAGCTGGGGCATGTTCCCAGATTCCTTCTCTGGGCATTGGTCTGCAGCTCTAATGAACTGTGTAGGAAAGCACTTTGAAGCAGTAATAAGCTCTGCCAGCACTATATAACCTACCATTAATTCACCTGATACATTTCTTTTGGAAACACATATACAAGGCAAGTTAACTTTTATAAATTATAATTTAAAGGAATTATAAATGAAAGGAATACAGGTGCATACCCTTGTCTGGTAATATCTTCATTTTTTGTGAACAGTTTATATACTTATAGATGGTTCATTCCTGAGCCAAGCAGGGCACTATGGTTATTTCTTTCATTGTACAACCATCTGTTTTCTCTCAAGTTGGAAACAGAATCATTTTTCATTTGCTTACTTATTCTAAATATCATCCAAATGTTCCAACAGGCTTCTCAATATCACTATCCACATGTTCAGAAGTATTGGAAAAAATCCACTACAAATCAAACATTTTAAATGCTTTGAGGCATTGGAGGAATTATACTGAATGTTTTCAGTCACCTACCCAGCTTCCCATCAACGAGAGATCCTTGGGTCGGTCAGCGCGTTCCTGCATCTCATCTAATCCCTCCCCTGCGCCCTGGAAACCGGTATCCTCCTCCGCACTTCACAGATGAGATAGCCGAGGCTCAGAAGTGCCAAGTGAGCAGTCCCCACGACTCGCGGCGAAGTACCTACTGTTGAAGAAAGTGCCGGTTTTCTCCCGCCGTGGTCGCAGGATACGCCACGCTGCCGCGGCACTTGCAGAGACCTGCAAGACCTCACCGCTCTGGCCCCTCTCGGCTCACGCCCGAGGCCGCTTGGTCCCGTGGCCCCGCCCACTCCGTGGATGTCTCGCCTACCCATCGCGGCCCGCCCATCTCCAGTGGGGCCCCGCCCCATCCCCAAGGACACGCCCCTTCCGTGGCGGAGGCCGGAAAGAGCTTCCGCTTCCGACAGAGTGAATACAGGTTCTCGGCGAGAGGATGGCGGCAGGCGGTAGCGATCCGCGCTCTGGAGATGTAGAGGAGGACGCATCACAACTCATCTTTCCCAAAGGTGCGCCCTGGGCAGGCGTGGCGAAGGGAGCGGAGGAGGAGGGGGAGGGCGCTGGGCACGGTACCGCGGGAACTGGCCAGCTGGAGTCCACACCGGCAGCCCTGGAGCCGTCGGCGCCCAACGCCACATCGCCCCGGGTGGCCTCTTGTTCGTGTTTAAGTTGTTTTAGCCCGTAAACTGGGAAGTGCTGGAGGGTTGTGTCAAAGATAAAGCCGACATTAAAGGGGTAATGGCAGGTTAATATACTATTGCAGTAGGGAAAAGCGTGAAGTGTGAAATCTATCTAGACTTGTATTTGTACAAAGGTGACTGGGCGTTTTAAAGGGAGAATGAAGGAATAGGGAGAGGGGTGAGCAGGGGCTCATAAAGAGTCAGGGAAGTGAAAAATTACGAGAAGCGGGGGTTGGTCCGTTTGAAGCTCATTTGGATTTAACTGGTGGTTATGGGGTTAGGCGCCTTCCCTTCCACACCCTTCGCTCTGGGCTGTGAGACGAGGGCCCTATCTTCAGATGTTGTCTGGAACAAACAAATTACTTTGACAGCCTTCAGTTTTCATAAGCAGCCATTGTAAAGGAACCAGAGTCATCCAAGGGATGCAGCCTTGAGCTGTTAGAAATCGTGTTAGTGTTTTCTTCAAGTCTTTGTGGAACAACCTTGAGTCCTAGTCGAGAAAAGGGCGCATAGGAGCCTGACTAGAGTTTGGTTATGAGAGATCTTTGTCAGATGACAGCGAGTAAAGCACGGTTTGCTATCAGGGAACTTCTGTGCTGTGTGATGGATGTAATGTGTAATTTACTGCTAAGTCACTTCAGTCGTGTCCGACTCTCTGCCACCCCATCCCTGGGATTCTCCAGGTAAGAACACTGGAGTGGGTTGCCATTTCCTTCTCCAATGCATAAAAGTGAAAAGTGAAAGTGAAGTCGCTCAGTCATGTCCGACTCTTGGCGACCCCATGGACTGCAGCCTACCAGGCTCCTCTGTCCATGGGATTTCCCAGGCAAGAGTGCTGGAGTGGAGTGCCATTGCCTTCTCCGTAATGTGTAATTTAAAAACCCAAAATAAGTAGAAAGCTTAAGACTTCAAAATGTTATCTTACAGGTACTGAAAAACACGAAGTTAATGAACAACAACAACAAAGTGGGGAAAACTTTAACAGTACCCTCCTTTTAAAAAAAATTTTTACTAATATATGCAGAGTAAAACATTAAAGTCCACACCTTTTCACCCAAACAACTATAGTGTTTATCCTTCTAAACCATGCTTATTTATAAATATATACTTATACATATACCCTTTATTCTTTGCAAAAATAGGATTATGCTATAGAAATCATAAATCGTGTAGAACTGTTCTATTCTTTTAAAGGACTAGGTAGTACTTGATGGGTGATAATGCAGTTCAGTCGCAAAGTTGTTGTGTCAACTCTTTTGTGATCCTTTGGACTGTAGCCCACCAGGCTCCTCTGTCCATGGAATTTCCCAGACAAGAATACAGGAGTAGGTTGCCATCTGCTTCTCCAGGGGATCTTCCCCACCAAGGGATCAGGCCCAGGTCTCCTGCATTGGCAGGTGGATTCTTTACCGCTAAGCCCACTTCATGGTTGTCAGCTCAGTTCAGTCGCTCAGTCGTGTCTGACTCTTTGCAACCCCATGAATCGCAACACGCCAGGCCTCCCTGTCCATAACCAACTCCTGGAGTTTACTTAAAACTCATGTCCATCGAGTCTGTGATGCTGTCCAGCTATCTCATCCTCTGTTGTCCCCTTTTCCTCCTGCCCCCAATCCTTCCCAGCATCAGGGTCTTTTCCAGTGAGTCAGCTCTTTGCATGAGGTGGCCAAAGTATTGGAGTTTCAGCTTCACCATCAGTCCTTCCAATGAACACCCAGGACTGATCTCCTTTAGGATGGACTGGTTGGATCTCCTTGGTTGTACTGTAATTCTATTCATTAATGTATATAGAGATTGCTTTCAGTATTGTATTTCATAGACTCAGAGTGAAATATTTCCGAGGACAGCTTTATGGACGTTGTAGGCATAATGGATGTGTATGTTTGTTTTCTTTTTTAAGGTGTGATAACTGAGAGGTAGGTGGTTTTCTGAATTTCATGATAAACCAGTTTTGGGTACTTGGGTTTTGTCTCAGTTTTTTTAATTTAAGGAGTTTTGTTTGTTTGAACACTGTACAGTTGTAGGATGTGAAGCCTCTGGATTTCTGCAGGGGCAGAAATTTGCTAATAGTCACTAAGGCAAATGAACATTTAGAAGCTGACTTGGGAAGAAATATTTTCAGTTGACATTTATGCTTTTCGCAAATAGAGTTTGAAACAGCTGAGACGCTTCTGAATTCGGAAGTTCATATGCTTCTTGAGCATCGAAAGCAGCAGAATGAGAGTGCAGAGGATGAGCAGGAACTTTCAGAGGTCTTCATGAAAACTTTAAATTACACTGCCCGTTTCAGTCGTTTCAAAAACAGAGAGACCATTGCCAGTGTCCGTAGGTGAGTGCTGAAAGAAAGTTCTTATTAATGCAGACTGTTGTCTTATTAATGCAGACAGCATGTATAATGCTGTCACCACCACCATCCCCACTCACCCATCCCACCCCCTGCTACCTCATGAGCATCGTCTGTATGATTCATGTGAGTAAAATTATTTCTTTGACAAAATTTAAAGTAGCTTGTTAGGCCAAAATCCTCCTTGCCTACTTTTTCTGTACCCCAGATCCCACTTAACCTCCATGCAGAGTAACTACTGTCAAAAGTTTGTTGTTAGCCCTCCAGAGCTTATTCCATGAATTCATATACATACATGTCATAAACACACAGACCTGTTATGTTTTAAATAAAGTGGACTTATTTATTTATTATTCACTTGATATGTCCTAGAGGTCTTGCTGTGTTTTTTAAATACCTGTTTATATGTATCTGTCTGTGTCAGGTCCTAGTGTCTGCACATCAGCTCTTCACTACAGCATGCCAGCTTCTCACTAATTGTGACTTGCAGGCTGCAGAGTATAGGGCTCAGCAGTTGTGGCAGATCGCTTTAGTTGCCCTTTTGCATGTGAAATCTAGTTCCCCAAGCTGGGATTGAACCCACGCTCCCTACAGTGGAAGTGTAAAGTGTGGAGTATTAACCACTGAACCACCAGGGAATTATCCTGGTGGAATATATTATTACATAATTAATTTACAATTATATATATATATTATATTGTATAATATATGCTATATATTATATAATACATTATTACGTATTAATATATTGTTATAATATATAAGTATGTAATTATATAATGTTTATAATTATATTCATTAACATAGCAAGAGGGACTACCCTTGAGGTCCAGTGGTTAAGAATTTGCCTTTTGATGCAGGGGACCCAGGTTCCATCCCTGGTCAGGGAACCAAGATCCCACATGCTTAATGGCATGGCCAATAAATAAACAAACAAACATAAATTTGGATTCCTTTTGGATCTTTACTTTTCAAATGGTGACTGGTTTTTAGCCTTTATTCTCCCTAAGGCATTGCTTCTCAAATTGAGTTGGACATGTTCTGGGAACAGTGAGGTGCTGGAGCATACAGGAAGCCCCAGAGAAAACAAGAGCTATTTTAACATTTCTTTGATTTCCTTGGGGATGAACTTTATTTGTATGAATTAGTCAGTCACCTGAAGTTTAATATAAATCAAGCCACTGGATAAGTCCATTTTTATAAACTGGGTAGCATCTCTTTCTTGAAGAAGTATCAGTTTTATTTGATGGCATATGATTTAATACATTTCTACATTAAAGCAGATACCAGTATACTGTGAAGTAAAACAAAAAATGTATATGAATTCTTGAATTAAATCGTAAGACTTCAATCCTTGCAGTTGCAGAAAGTCGTTTTGCCTGCAGGTTGCCTGGGGGTGCTTGTTTTCTCCACTCCTGTGAAAATGTTTGAGAAGTAACTGTCCTAAGGAAAGGCAGATGAACAAAAAGATGTATATATGCAGACTCTAAAGAGAATTATAGTAGTCAAAGGTGAAAAACAACCTAAATATTCAATAGTAATTAAATAAATTGTTGTAAATCCATTCGATGGACTCTTATGTTGTCATTAAAAATTATGATAGAAAATGAAACTGAAGGATGTTCACATCAGTTAAATGTACAGAGGGAGTTCCCTGGCGGTCCAGTTAGGACTCAGTACTTCCACTGCAGCAACTCAGTTCAGTCTCTGGTTGGGGAACTAAGATCCCATAAGCTGCTTAGTGCAGCCACAAAAAAAAAGTTAAATGTGCAGAAAATGAAGTGATATAACTATGTGAAGTATAGACTGTTGTGAAAAGTTTGAGTGTATTCATTGGGAAAACGTTCCATACAAAACTGCTAATTGTTTCACCAAAAAAGTGAATAAATGAAGGTGGACTTAAACATTCACAAATAAAAGGTCTTAATACCATAAAAATGTCATTTCTCTTCAAATTAATGTATACCTTTACTGCCATTCTAAATCCTCAAGGGAATTGATATATATACACCCTCCAGGCTCCTCTGTCCCTAGAATTTTTCAGGTGAGAATACTGGGGTGGGCTGCCATTTCCTACTCCAGGGGATCTTTCCAACATTGGCCGGCAAAAATTCTTTAACCACTGAGCGACCTGAGAAGCCTGCACGCACACACACTCACTCACTCACTCTCTCTCTCTCTCTCTCAAATATGCTCATGATAAAGCTTAATTTTCCATATAATTCAACTAAGATAAGATGGTAATAGATCATAGTGGCTGAGGCAAAACACCGATTATTTGACTCCTACCAGTGAGTAGCACAGTCTTTCTGAAATGGTGCCGAGAAAAATATATCCTCAGCAGTGAAAAATAAATAAATAAATGAATACCCCCCAAAAGATCTTAAATTTGTAAGAATTGTCAGGAAAAAACTTAAAAAAAAAAAATAAAAGGGAATTTGCTCTATAGGATGTTAAAATACATTAAAAAATGACAATAATTAAAATAGTGACACTTTGGCATGAGGATAGATCATTGGGACAGAATAGGAAATTAAGGAACAGATTCACCTCCAAATTTATTATATTTTATATGATTCCCGTATATGACAAAGGTGACTTGCTAAGTTAGTGGGAAAATATAAGTACTATGTGATAACATGAGTGAATGTACAATTTTGGCTGTGGTTAGCAGGACTTTATATGTGAGGAAGGTTGATAAACTAGTTGGCTGTAAGCTTTGCAAGAGCAAGGACTTGATCATATTCATCACTGTCAATTTCATTAAAGGCAGTAACTAGTTTTTAGTTGGATAAGTAAATGAATTTGCAGTAAGTATCTTTAAACTTGCTTATATCAAATAGACTGCCATACTTAAAATGTAAGTACAAGTAAACTGGGAAAGGATTGATAGTCCTTGATGTTAAGAGCTCTAGAAAGTAAGAGATGACACCCAGTTAATAAAAATGAACTTAGTCTTTAACGACTAGATTTATATCACAACTTCAAATGACTGTCTAATTCATGTGAAGTAATGTTCATCTTCCAGGAAATCAAAGACATGCTGAAATGGCTAAGTAGATTTTAAAAGAGTGGGAAACCATCCCACGTCCCCTGCACTGGCAGGCAGATTCTTTACCACTTGAGCCACCTGGGAAACCCTTTTCATCCTTTACCCGTTCCTCAGTAGGCCTGGGTCTTTGACTAATGTTTTTGAAGCCTCCCCAGTGACTATTTCTCTTGGAACCCTTTGAGACCAAACCTCTCCCCTTTGGACCATGTTATAGGTTGAAATGTGTCCCCTCAAAGGATGTTGAAGCACTAAATCCCCAGTACCTGTGAATGTGTCTTTTTATGGAGATAGAATCTTTGCAAAGTCAAGATGAGGTCATATTCAGTTAAAGTGCATTCTAATCCAGTATGACTGTTACACTTATAAGGAGAGTATGACAGAAAAAATACCATATGACAATGCAAGCAGAGAATGGTTGTCATATTTACAAGCCAAGGAGCACCAAGGATTGTCAGTGGCACCAGAAGCTAAGAAACTGCAGGAAACAGCTTCTCTCCTAGAGACTTCAGGAAGAGCATGACCCTGACAACATCTTAATCAGACTTCTGGCCTCCTGAATTGAAATAATAAGTTGTTTTAAGCCAAACAGACAAAGAATGGGAAACCTAGTGTAAGAAGTAAGGGAAACAGCCACCATCTTTTATTGCTGGTGGAAGTGTATAATGGTAAAGCTCTTTCAGGGCACTCACTGTCTCTCAGAAGCCTTCCAGACGGTCATATCTTTTGACTGAATAATTCTGCTTCCAGAAATTTATCTTTAAAACACACAGTAATCAGATACATAATGAAGTATGCATTTACAATGATGTTCAGAATGCATTATTCAAAATGATGAATAATTGGAAGCAAGGGAAGTGTTCAAGAGCAGGATGTTTGCTATATAAATTAAGCAACAGGTTGAATGCCTGTTGAATGCCAAGTCAAAGGAAAAGGTACGTGTGTAAAATGTGGAAGACAGTGACTGTATTGTTGAGTGAAAAAAGGCCAGTTACAGAATAGCATATGTTATGATTTCTTTTTTAATTATGTAGAGAAGGGGAAGAGGAACTCCATGAATATGTTAGCACTAGTTATTTCTGGGTAGAATTTCAGCTTATTTTCCCATATTGGGTGTGTTTTTTTGAGGGGGTGTTTGTTATAAATAAGCATGTGTTCATTTTACAAACAAACCCCTCCATATACATATATTTACTACATTATGAACCTGTGTAAGTTTTTCTTTACAAGATGAAAATAGCTTTATTAGGTGACCAAAAGTTAAACAATAGAATGAGTGAGTTTATTTCTAAAACATAGAAAAATGTTTGGAATGGTATAGTAAGATGGTAATGTTGATTTTGTTGAGGTAGTAATATGGGTGCCATTTTTCTGTCTTTATTTTCTTAATTTTGTTTAATAACTAGTAGACTTGTAATCAAGTGATAAGGACAGTAAATGATTTTGTCTGATCAGATAATCAAGTGTTTCACAGGCATCCCAGTGGTTAAAACCCTGTGCTTTCACTGCTGAGGATGCAGGTTAGATCCCTGGTCAGGGAATTAAGAAGCTGCATGCCGCACAGCACAGCCAAAAATAAGATTTTTAAAAACAGGTCCTTTCTGAAACCAAATTTACCACGGACAATCTGTGTTTTAAGAAGTTTGATTTCCCTGGTGGTCCAGCGATTAAGAATCTGCCTTTCAGTGCCGGGGACACTGGTTTGCCTCCTGGTTGGGAAGAGTCCGCGTGCCCAAGGGGCAACTGAGGGCATGCAGCACAGCTTCGAGCTTGTGCTCCAGAGCCCATGCTCCGCGGCGAGAAGCCGGAGCTCGCTGCAGCTGGAGAAAGCACGCGTGCAGCAGTGAAGACCCCTGACAGGGAAAAATAGATAGATAGATAAACTAAATATCTTTTAAAGTTTAGAAAATTTAACATGTAGTTGATATCATTGACTCTTGATAAAATATTCTACTAAAATGATATTATCTTTCTAGAAAAAATAGTAGATGTGTGAGAATCCAGGATGTGATTTGTATTAATGATGTTCTTTTTCACAGTTGGAACTAGAAGTACATTTAAAATAAGATGCAGCTTATACACAGATTTGTACAAACTAAGATATGCCTATATTTATTTCTTAGATACATGTAAAAGAGAATTTGAGGCATTCCCTGGTGGTCCAGTGGTTAGGACTCTGCGCTTCAACTGCAGAGGGTCTGGGTTCAATCCGTGGTCAAGGAACTAAGATTCTGCAATCCATTCATTGTGGCCAAAAATCAAGTAAAAATTTTTTTAAAAAAGAGAATTTCCTCCAAGTCAAAATGCCTACTAGATTGGGGAAATCTAACATCGTGTGTTAAGACATAAAATTAACAAAGGAAGCAAAGAACAGTGGTAGGAAGAGCAGAAAGCAACAAAATCAATTCTTGGGGGAAAGATGGTATGGTCCTCTGGGTAGAGAGCATTTTTTTGGTAAGTTTTCATCACAAGAATCCTTCTTAGGTGTGCTCAGATTACTGTGCTCAGATTATTTATTGTCTTTGCCTGATTCATAGCTTCCTGCTCTCCAGGAAGAGAAACAGGAACAGGAATTGATTTGAATGTGGGATTTTGCAGCAAACCTAATCTTAACGGAAAGATTGCAGATGCTTTACATTTTTCTCTTCCTTGCTACCTACATTTCATCCCCTTTTTCTTATTCATCATTTGGCTTGTTTTGGTATTTCTCCCCTGTGATCAGCTTGCTGCTCCAGAAGAAGCTTCATAAGTTTGAGTTGGCCTGTTTAGCCAACCTTTGTCCAGAGACTGCTGAGGAGTCCAAGGCTCTGATCCCAAGGTTAGTGCTGGTGGTGAAAAGTTCTGTGTATGTTGAATAAATTCCTGCAAGTAGAATTACTGTGTTTAAAAGCTGTGTGCTATCTGGATATCACCAACATTGGGTTGGCCAAAAAATTCCTTTGGTTTTAAAAGTAAAAATAAAACACATTTTTTATTTTCATTAAGAACTTTATGGAAAAACATATTCACCATTTTGTTCCACTACCTTCTGCCATTTTTCAAGCAACTTCATAATTCCATCTTCCCCAAACTTTTAATCTTTTTGACCAAAGAAATGTTCCAGGTTCCTTTTACCGTCTTCTATTGAAGAGGAAAAAATTGAAATTTTTTCCATTAATAGAATTTTGTACAGACCAAAATAAATGGAAATCTGAAGGTGCAGTGTGTGGTGAATTTGTTGTTCAGTCGCTTAGTTGTGTTGGATTTTTTGCAACCCCATGGATGGACTGCAGCAAGCCAGGCTTGTCCTGCACCATCTCCTGGAGCTTGCTCAAACTCATGTCCATTGAGTTGGTGATACCATCCAACTGTCTCATCCTCTGTCATCCCTTTCTCCTCCTGCCTTCAATCTTTCCCAGCATCAGGGTCTCTTCTAATGAGTCACCTGTTCGCCTCAGGTGGCCAAAATATTGGAACTTCAGCATCAGTCCTTCCAATGATTATTCAGGATTGATTTTCTTTAGGATTGACTGGTTTGATCTCCTTGCAGTCCAAGGGACTCTCAAGAGTCTTCTCCAACACCACAGTTCAAATGCATCAATTCTTCGGTCCTCAGCTTTCTTTATGGTCCAACTCTCACATCCATACATGACCACTGGAAAAACCATAGCTTTGACTTTGTGGACCTTTGTTGACAAAGTAATGTCTCTGCTTTTTAATACGCTCTCTAGTTTGTTATAGGTTTTCTTCTAAGGAGCAAGTGTCTTTTAATTTCATGGCTACAGTCACCATCTGCAGTAATTTTGGAGCCCAAGAAAATAAAGTCTTTCACTGTTTCCATTGTTTCCCCATCTATTTGCCATGAAGTGATGGGACCAGGTGCCATGATCTTTGTTTTTTGAATGTTGAGTTTTAAGCCAACTTTTTCACTCTCCTCTTTTACCTTCATCAAGAGGCTCCCGTGAATATGGCGGATGAATCGAAACTTCCCAGCCAAGCTATAACAGTTTCTGCCTGGTTGTCAAAGAAACATTTGGTCTTGCGGTATCCTGATAGAAGATTATGCATTTTCTGTTGACCAATTCCTGACACTTTTTGTCGAGTGCTGCTTTCAGTTGATCTAATTGGGATCTTTTCCAAAAAGAGCTCATAATAGATGACTCCCTTCCGATGCCACCATGTATACAACATCACCTTCTTTGGATGAAGACTGGCCTTTGGCATGTTGGTGGTGATTCATTTTGCTTGCCCCAGGATCTCTTCCATTCTGCATTATTGTACAGTATTCACTTTCATCGCCTTTCAAACTTAGTTTTTAAAACAAAATGTTTTTGTTACATTCATGTAGAGAATTGCACAGGAAATACAGTAAAGAAGGATTTGGTTTATTTTTTTTGCATAACTTATGTAGAACTCAGACATCAAAGAACTCAGACACCAGCTGATGCAAATGATTTTCAATGCTTGATTCAGATATTTTGAGTATGTTGGCTATCTTATCTCCTGCGTGGTGTAGCATTGATTGTTTTCTCAATTATTGTGTTGATTTCATTGATATCAACTTCAGCTGTTCTGTCTGACTGGGACATCGTCCAGTGAGAAATCTCCAGCACGAAAGTTCACAAACCACTTTTGATGTGTTCAGTCAGTCATAGCACCTTCTCCATACACTGCACAAATCTTTTTTTTTGCACTTCAGTTGTGTTACTTTCTTGAAATAAAGCATAATAGGCCAAAAATGTTGCTTTTTTTCAGTATAGAAGTGGCCACACAAAAATTCAATTTTGGTAAGTTTTTTTTTTTTTAATGCATGCTGATATGACAGCTGTCACAATATAGTCTAACAAAATTGTTTTGAATGAAATTAAAAACACCTAAGTGCTAATAGAGCCATCTTAAGGAAAAAAAACGAACTTTTTGGCCAGCCCAGGAGAATGAGTGCCTTTGTAGTGAGACCAGTGTTTTTATAGTATGCCAGTTGTTGGCAAAAATGTGAAACAGCTGAAACTCTGGTCCACTGATGATAGGAGTACAAATTAATACAGTTACTTTGGAGAATAATTTGGCTACATCCAGTAAAGTTAAATACACCCCATGACCCCAAAATTCATTCCTGGGTATGTGTCCTAAAAACAGTTCAAACATAGTTTAAAAGGAGACATGTATTCCAGTGTATATTGCTGCATTATTAGTGATAGTGGAAACTTGCCAACAGTCTTCAGTCTGCAAGACTGGATAAATAAATCTTTGTGCAGTCTTGCAATGTTTATTATAAAGCAGTGAAGAAAATAAGTGAACTAGAACAATGTGATATAATGTCAACATGTGCCAGAATGAATGTTGAGTGAAAAAATTGCAGAAGGATACATACAGTACAATGCTGTTTCTTATAGTTTAAAAACAGTGCTATGTATTGTTTATGGGTACATTTATGTATACAGTAGTAAGTATAAAAATATATGTAGGAATAATGAATGCCAAATTTAAGATGATTGTTACTCCTAGGAAAGGAAGAGAAGGTTTTGGAGTAGGGGCACACACACAGAACCATTGATTTGTGTCTGTCAATATTTATTAATGAGTCAAGTAGGGATAATTCTTCTATACCTTTTTTGTATTTGAAATACTTAATAATGTTTTCAAAGGAAAGGAAAGAAATTGAGTTGAAACGTAAAGGTGTCAGTGTTTAGGGGTGAGCGGAGAGATGAGCCAACGGTGCTCCAAGATCCACATCTATGAAAGAAGAGGGTGGGAGCACTGTCAGTTGCTGTGACACTCACTTTTGGTTTTCTTCTTGTAGCCTGGAGGGGCGGTTTGAAGATGAGGAGCTACAGCAGATTCTTGATGACATCCAGACCAAGCGCAGCTTTCAGTATTAGTCTCCAGATATCACTGCTGCTGGGGAGCTACGTCACATCCCCAGCACAGTGCCCCTCGCTCAGAGTCTGGGGCTGACTCGCACAGAAATTCTGTTGCAGAAGACACTTGGCCTTCCTTTGGATAGAACAACCCAGTGCTTTGTTTGGTTTAGGTTGCTATTTCAAGCTTGACTATTGGCCAGTGATGACCTGTACAACCTTGGCGAAGCCTTGCAGTAGCTGCTCATGGCTGTGTGAGCTTGCCTCTGGGAAGGACGAGGTGGGGGGACGTGCATATAAGCAACACTACTGACTGCCTCATATCATGGTCTTTGGCCCTTGTGTTATTTTGATTCCTAACATGTCATGTTTTAATATCAATGTGTTCATAGTTTTTTAAGCTCTTCTAGAACATGTAAAACTAGTATGGGAAACAGTCTTACCTAAATGCAAAAGGAAGAATTAAACCAGACCTATATCACTGTTTGAAATTCTTAAAGAAAGCATGTAGAGCCCAGGCATCATTGTGCATAACCCCGGAGACAGGAAAGGGGTTTCTGAGAAAAGCAGCTCATCTGTCATCATGAGGATAACTGCTGGGTATTGTGGAGCACACAGCCTTTTGCTGGACAAGCACTGTGCCTTTTTCTTGGATTCCTGTGGAACGTATATGTGGAGTATGTGTTCTTAAAGCACTTACTTCGTCACTCCCGAATTGAGACTCCCCTCCTAGGCCGGGTGTGAAGCAGGGAGCACTTTGTTGTGCCCTCACGTGGGGCCTCAGGTCCAGATGTCTGGCCGCCTCAGCAGCAGGCCTTCCATGGTGGTTTGGAAGGAGGGAGCCTGCCACTTGCTGAGCCACTAGAGTGACGTCACTCAATCTGAGACTGGTTGCAAGGAAAATACTTTACTCTAATAGCTGAATATTTGGCTCTCAATTTTTAGAGGGGAAATATGCCTGTTTTCTTCAGTTTGGGGATTTTTCTTTGGCATACTTGTTGATGCCAAGTAAATTCATGATCCAAGGATAAGGATGCGGAAAGAACAAAGTTGGCTTTAAAAAGTCAAGGCTGTTTTATGTCAGCTTCTAAGGCAAAAATAAAGTTTTATTATTTTTATAAATTATTTTCAGTTTCTGAAATGACATGATTTCTAAGTCACCATTATTTGAAGGAAATGTCAGTTATACCTCAATTAAAGGAGTATTTCCTTGAGGAAATACTCTTCATCCTTGGGCGACTTCACTTCTTTGAGACCCATCAGCGTTCTCAATTGTAAAATGTGGATAATAATAGATACTGAAAGTTGAATGAGAAAATTATTAAAAAAAGCCTGTTGGTATCTGACATACACTATACCCCAGTACATGTTAGCTGTTATTAGCTTGCTTCATAGAAATTGGTGCAAGGATTTGGTAGCCTGCCCACTGGCACTGGTATCAGACTATGAAAACAAAGCAAACTGACTACTTTTTGAAGCCTGTGGAGTTACTTTTTGAAAGAGGCAGTTACATGGTTGGCGCCAGGCAGTGGAACAGAAAACAGACCCAGATACCAGACTCGAGCTGTCGTCCAGGCGTGTGTGCTGTGTGGCGGGAGCAGGACCTGCCGCCATCACTACGGGGTTCCCATCTGATTCTCTGAGGTGAGCCGCTGGAGAATTTTACACTGTGTAAAGCACCTGGCGTATAGTTGGGCGCTAATAAATGGCAGGTAGTAAGGCAACTAGAAGCAGATTTAAAAAACAATAGCTCATATCAGGATGATGGGTAGAAGCAACCTCGTGCTGTGTTACAGATGCGCAGCCTGGTCTGTGCCTTCTGCTGGACCGGTTCTCTACAGTCCTGGACAGCAGCTCACTGTCCAGTGAGCAGGAGACCTTGCAAACTCTTGGGTCATCTGTGAAACATCGCTAGACTTGCACTGTTGGCAAAAGCAGAATTCAGACACATTGAAATAAAGATGTCATGTTGTCAAAGCCTCACCTCACTGGAAAACTAAATGAACCAGAAAAGATTTCCTGAAAATTCTAGTCATTTTGGTTTTATAAAAATTTATTAAACTTGAGTCTTGAAAAACAGCACTACTGAATGTAAGCACAAGCTGCATAAAATGACTATTTTATACTTATAAAATAAAAATGAGTATTTTATGCTTATCTCTCAAACCCACACAAAGACTTGTGTATGAATAATTACAGCATTATTCATAATAGCCCCAAACAGGAAACAATCTGAATGTCCACCAGGAGGTGGGTCGATCAACAAATCTGATATAGCCATACAGTGGAATACCATTTAGCGATAAAAGGATGAACTAAAGAAATAGCTGAACCATTGAAACACACAGGGTATGTTGGTTGTGTGACATTTTTTCAGCTTTTTATTAAAAAACGAAGCCCAGAAGAGCTAAAAGGCTAATGCATTGATCACACCAGTATGTTCATCACCTACATTTAACACGTTTGCCATACTTGCTTTATTATATTTTTCCAGGAAGCATTTTAAAGCAGCATGGCACTTCATTAGCTTCATTAATTCATTGATTCATGTAAATGTATGGCAAAAACCACTACAATATTGTAAAGTAGTTAGCCTCCAACTAATAAAAATAAAGAAAAAAAACAAAATTTAAGCATGCATTTTAAAAATACACTTCTCCGTAAGTTTGACTATTGCACTTAAAAGAACACCAACAAGAATTTCCTGGTACTTAGTTCAGATCTCTCCTGGGGAAAGTTCTGGTCAGTCCCAGTGCTGGTACAATTTAGTATATAAAATCAATCGTTATTAAATATCTAGACACTTGTGAGAAATATGGAAGAAACAGGGCTACTGCCCTCAAGTTGTTGGGTGAAACTACCCCTGGGTGAAACATGGGCCTAAGCAGAGTGCAGGCCCTGGACAGTCAGTGATGCATCTGCGTGTGGCTCTCCTGTGTCCTTCCAGCATCAGCGGGAGGACAGTTTGGGACTAAAAGGCAGAACATTGAGTGGTGACAGCAGGATGAAGGCAGTTCTATCTGCTGGAGTCTTGAAGTTTTGTGTGCACGACGCTAAGGGAGGGCTTTGAATCCACCTGCAATGCGGGAAGCCTGGGTTCGATCCCTGGGTTGGGAAGACCCCCTGGAGAAGGGAACAGCTCTCCACTCCAGCATCCTTGCCTGGAGAACTCCATGGACAGGGGAACCTGGCGGCTGCAGTCCACGAGGTCGCGGAGAGTAGAGCACGCCTGACCGACTTCCACTGCCGAGGGTGAGGGCTGCTTAAGAGATAAGTGTTGTTTAGTGATCTGCTCCCCTGTTTTCAGGACAGTGAGGAGTGCAGGGAGAGCAAGAATATACTTGAAATAACACAGTTGGAAGCGAGGGCTTGGTGAGACAGGGTGGAGGTGGAGAAGCAGCCCAGAAGACCCCTGAGAATTGTGGAAGACAAGGCAACGCTGTCCAGAGGAACACATAGGACTCTTCTGTATCTGCCTGCTACCGGTAGCCCTTGAGCACTTGAGGAACTGCACTGTAAATGTAGTCTTACATTTTAAAATGTAAATACTCACGGAATCTCCCCAGTGGTCCATTGGCTATGACACTCAGAATGCAGTGGGCCCGGGGTCGATCCCTGGTCAAGGAACTGGATCCCACATGCTGCAACTAAGGTCCAGCACAGCAAAAAAAAATTTTATTTTTTTAAATAGTCACATGTAGCCAGTGGACAACACAGCTCTTAGCTCCCAACACAAATGTCCTGCAAAGCGTTGACAGCATTTCAGTAAGATTGACAGTGCTCACAGGCGCAGCAGTAACAATGGCAGACCATTCAACCAAATTGTGTCTCCAGAGTTTTGAAGGCTAAAGGTGTATATCACTTTCTATGCATCACTGAGTCCGGTTTTTGTGTATGGTACAAATTCCGGTTTTAAAAACCTGCCTGTTTAATACTAGTGCTCATGGACAAAATTATAATGGCTATTTTAAGGTAACATTTGTGAATAGTGCAAAGTTGAATACTTCATCTTGTGTTGAAAACCTCGTTCCTAATTAATTCTGCCTTTTAAGTAGGCTGAAAACTTGTATGTTGAATTTCAAAAGCAAAACTCCCAAGATTTATTACCTTTAAAGGCTTCCGATATTTATATTTTATAATTCTACTAATAAATGTGGTTCAGGCACCGGATACTCCTGGATTCAAACTGAAGTCCTTTTAAATTCAGACCAGCCTCTAGCTCCCAAGCCATATCAACACCAGCCTGTGACTACACATGTCTTAAATACATTCTCCTTGTTAATAGGGAACTTAACAGTTCTCCATGTTGAAACTCATGTTGAAGTTAGAAGACATGTAAAAAGCAATAAAAGCAATACTTTCTAAACTTAATGATAGAAGAATTTTAAAAGGTGAAAGATGATTACATAAAAAATTGTGTAAAATCCCTAAAAAGGCAATTGAGAGACATAGCAGAGAAGACAAGCAGAAGGTGAAGATGTTTATAAACAGCTTTTAAAAATAAATTTTAGAAGATATAATATTAGGACTCCAGTTTCAGAAAGGACATAGACACAAGTTACATTCAATTACCAAGTTAATGGGGAAATGTGCACCCTAATTAGTTTTCAAGAATGCTTAAATGAGGTGACATTTTTCTCATTTAAAAGGTACAAAAGAATCCCCTCTATTTACACATAGTGAGCAACTTCTTTGTGTCAGGTGCTGCTTTATACACATGAGGATACAGAAACAAGATAGAACACCTACTCTTAGAGTCTGCAGCCTCAGCTAGACAAACAAAAAGAAAACATATTTCCCGTTTGAAGTCTGTTACTCTCCTGAGTAATACAAAGACCACAAAATCATCCCTGAGTCTCTACTCCCACCTCTGTGCTGTTTTTGTCCAGGATTTTAGATTCACTCTGTTTTTAATTACCCTCAACACACACACAAATACACAATGTTTACAGTCAATGCAGAGACTTGTCCATATTTTTAGCAATTTACTTGCTCATCGTTGCCTCTCTGCATCCCTCCTT